AATAATACTTTTATTATTGCCTCTAGGGCATATTTCCAACAGAAGAAACTCCATGCAAATGGACCGTTTGGACTCACTTGATTTTGAATCACTTGAGACATGCAAATCATACCACATGGGCAAGATGACTGAAAGCCTCGTTTTCAGTAAAATGGAACTAGAAAGCAACTTGTTGGAAGTAATACATTTTGATGTGTGCAATCCAATGAGTTCTGAGGCATGTAGTGGATATCGTTATGTTCTTACTTCACAGATGATTTGAGTAGATGTTGACTATATTTACTTGATGAATCACGAGTCTGAATTATTGAAAGGTTCAAGTAATTTCAGGGTGAAGTTGAAAGATCGTCGTGACAAGAGGATAAAATATATCTATGATATGATCATAGAGATGAATATCTAAATTACGAGTTTGGCACAGAATTAAGACATTGTGGAAATTGTTTCACAACTAATACAGCCTGGAACACCATAGTGTGATGGTGTGTCCGAACATCATAACTGCACCCTATTGGATATGATGCATACCATGATGTCTCTTATCGAATTACCACGATAGTTTATGGGTTAGGCATTAGAGACAACCACATTCACTTTAAATAGGGCACCACGAAATTCCGATGAGATGACACCGTATGAACTATGGTTTAGAGAAACCTAAGCTGTCATTTCTTAAAAGTTTGGGGCTGCGACGCTTATGTGAAAAAGTTTCAGGCTGATAAGCTCGAACCCAAAGTGGATAAATGCATCTTCATAGGACACCCAAAACAGTTGGGTATACCTCCTGTCTCAGATCCGAAAGCAATAAGGGATTGTTTCTAGAATCGGGTCCTTTCTCGAGGAAAAGTTTCTCTCGAAAGAATTGAGTGGGAGGATGGTGGAGACTTGATGAGGTTATTGAACCGTCTCTTCAACTAGTGTGTGACAGGGCACAGGGAGTTGTTCCTGTGGCACCTACACCAATTGAAGTGGAAGCTTATGATAGTGATCATGAAACTTCAGATCAAGTCACTACCAAACCTCGTGGGATGACAAGGATGCGTACTACTTCAGAGTGGTACGTAATCCTGTCTTGGAAGTCATGTTGCTAGACAACAATAAACTTACGAGCTATGGAGAAGCAATGGTGGGCCCGAATTCTGATAAATGGCTCGAGGCCATAAAATCCGAGAGAGGATCCATGTATGGAAACAAAGTGTAGACTTTGACAGAACAGCTCGATGGTCGTGAGGCTGTTGAGTACAGATGGATTTTAAAAGGAAGACGGACAATGATGGTAAATGTCACCATTAAGAAAGCTCGACTTGTCATTAAGATGTTTTCCGACAAGTTCAAGGAGTTGACTACGATGAGACTTTCTCACTCGTAGCGATGCTAAGAGTCTGTTGGAATTATATTAGCGATTACTGCATTATTTATGAAATCTTGCAGATAGGATGTCAAAACATTGTTTCCTCAACGGTTTTTTGAGGAAAGGTTGTATGTGATACAAACCGGAAGGTTTTGTCAATCCTGAAAGATGCTAATAAGTATGCAAAGCTCCAGCAATCCTTCTAGGGACTGGAGTAACATCTCGGAGTTGGAATGTATGCTTTGATGATGATCAAAGATTTTGGGTTTATACAAAGTTTATGAGAAACTTGTATTTCCAAAGAAGTGAGTGGGAGCACTATAGAATTTCTGATGAATATATGTTGTTGACATATTGTTGATCAGAAATGACGTAGAATTTCTGGAAAGCATATAGGGTTATTTGGAAAGTGTTTTTCAATGGAAAGCCTGGATTAAGCTATAGAACATTGAGCATCAAGATCTATAAGGATAGATCAAAATGCTTAATGGTACTTTCAAATGAGCACATACCTTAACATGATCTTGAAGGTGTTCAAGATGGACCAGTCAAAGAAGGAGTTCTTGCCTGAGTTGTAAGGTATGAAGTTAAGACTTAAAGCTCGACCACGGCAGAAGAAAGAGGAAGGACGAAGGTCGTCCCCTATGCTTTTGTCATAGGCTCTATACGGTATGCCATGCTGAGTACCACACCTGATGTGTGCCTTGCCACATATCTGGCAAGAGGGTACAAAGGTAATCTAGGAGTAGATCACCAGATAGCGGTCTAAATTATCCTTAGAGGAATAAGGATATGTTTCTCGGTTATGGAGGTGATAAAGAGTTCGACGTAAAGAGTTACGACGATGCAAGCTTAACACCTATCCGGATAGCTTTGAGTAGAGATATCGGATATGTATAATGGAGCAACAATTTAGAATAGCTCCAAGTAGAACAGTTATTTGAAATGGCTCCAAATATAGCATAGTAGCTGCATCTACAAGATGACATAGAGATTTGCGAAGTACATATGGATCTGAAAGATTCAGACCCGTTGACTATAACATCTCTCACAAGCATAACATGTTCAAACCCAGAACTCATCGAGTGTTAATCACATGGTAATGTGAACTAGATTATTGACTCTAGTAAACTCTTTGGGTGTTAGTCACATGGGGATGTGACCTTGAGTGTTAATCACATATCGATGTGAACTGGATTATTGACTCTAGTGCAAGTGGGAGACTGTTGGAAATATGCCCTAGAGGCAATAATAAATTAGTTATTATTATATTTCCTTGTTCATGATAATCGTTTATTATCCATGCTAGAATTGTATTGATAGGAAACTCAGATACATGTGTGGATACATAGACAACACCATGTCCCTAGTAAGCCTCTAGTTGACTAGCTCGTTGATCAATAGATGGTTACGGTTTCCTGACTATGGACATTGGATGTCATTGATAACGAGATCACATCATTAGGAGAATGATGTGATGGACAAGACCCAATCCTAAACATAGCACAAGATCGTATAGTTCGTTTGCTAGAGTTTTCCAATGTCAAGTATCTTTTCCTTAGACCATGAGATCGTGTAACTCCTGGATACCGTAGGAGTGCTTTGGGTGTACCAAACGTCACAACGTAACTGGGTGACTATAAAGGTATACTACGGGTATCTCCAAAAGTGTCTGTTGGGTTGACACGGATCAAGACTGGGATTTGTCACTCCGTATGACGGAGAGGTATCACTGGGCCCACTCGGTAATGCATCATCATAATGAGCTCAAAGTGACCAAGTGTCTGGTCACGGGATCATGCATTATGGTACGAGTAAAGTGACTTGCCGGTAACGAGATTGAACGAGGTATTGGGATACCGACGATCGAATCTCGGGCAAGTAACATACCGATTGACAAAGGGAATTGTATACGGGATTGATTGAATCCTCGACATCATGGTTCATCCGATGAGATCATCGAGGAACATGTGGGAGCCAACATGGGTATCCAGATCCTGCTGTTGGTTATTGACCGGAGAGCGATCTCGGTCATGTCTACATGTCTCCCGAACCCGTAGGGTCTACACACTTAAGGTTCGGTGACGCTAGGGTTGTAGGGATATGTATATGCAGTAACCCGAATGTTGTTCGGAGTCCCGGATGAGATCCCGGACGTCACGAGGAGTTCCGGAATGATCCGGAGGTAAAGAATTATATATAGGAAGTGCTGTTTCAGCCATCGGGACAAGTTTCGGGGTCACCGGTATTGTACCGGGACCACCGAAAGGGTCCCGGGGGTCCACCGGGTGGGGCCACCTGCCCCGGGGGGGCACATGGGCTGTAGGGGTGTGCGCCTTGGCCTACATGGGCCAAGGGCACCAGCCCCAAGAGGCCCATGCCCCTAGGGTTCAAGAAGGGAAGAGTCCTAAAGGGGGAAGGCACCTCCTAGGTGCCTTGGGGAGGAGGGATTCCTCCCTTGGCCGCCGCGCCCCCTAGGAGATTGGATCTCCTAGGGCCGGCGCCCCCCTTGGCCCTCCTATATATAGTGGGGAGATGGAGGACTTCTCACCCCACGCCTTTGGTGCCTCCCTCTCCCTCTCCAACACATCCTCCTCCTCCATAGTGCTTGGCGAAGCCCTGCCGGAGTACTGCAGCTCCACCACCACCACGCCGTCGTGCTGCTGCTGGAGCCATCTTCCTCAACCTCTCCTTCCTCCTTGCTGGATCAAGAAGAAGGAGACGTCACGCTGACCGTACGTGTGTTGAACGCGGAGGTGCCGTCCGTTCGGCGCTAGGATCTCCGGTGATTTGGATCACGTCGAGTACGCCTTCCTCATCCCCGTTCTTTGAACGCTTCCGCGCGTGATCTACAAAGGTATGTAGATGCTATCCGATCACTCGTTACTAGATGAACTCATAGATGGATCTTGGTGAAACCGTAGGAAATTTTTTTGTTTTCTGCAACGTTCCCCAACACTAAATCCATGGATAATTTTGCTTTCCATTTAAATGTAGTGTTGAGCACTCATTTGTTTTCCCCATTCTGATCATTACAGAGCCTACTTTAGCTGTTTTGTGGTGTCCGCATTCATCCAGGACTCCGTGGCCCAATGGATAAGGCGCTGGTCTACGAAACCAGAGATTCTGGGTTCGATCCCCAGCGGAGTCGTTTGGAGTCATTTTTTTTTCCTAAAGCTTCTGTACCCATGATAACAATCCATTTTAAAGTTCCCAAATTCTGCTGATTATGAGACCTGATCCATCGATCAAAATGCTTCAACATACCGTGACAGAACCATTTTTGTTTTATATATCCTCGGATTCGAAAGAACCTTACTGTTTTGTTGTTCTCCAGAGTGCCCAGCTCATGAAACAGCGAAGGCAACAATGTTCTAGCATTACAGTTTTGCTTATTCATTCTCATCAAGGACCTTACATCTGATGAAGTTACATGAAGAACTCGCCCACTGTATTCGGGTTCAGATCGTAGCGGCGGTACGCCACAAAGCACGCACCATTGTTTTCCAGCGGGACGTGCAGTTTATTCGGGGCGAAAAGAAGACGGCTCCACAATTTACACGTGCATGTGTGCGTGTGTTCGGGCGACATACGTGAACACATGCCCGAAAATTACTCGCCGGCGTTTCGGTCGCGTGAGAGAGCCTCTCTATCGGCGCCTGTTGCCGGTGGCGATCTCCCAGGCCCGCAGCACGTGGTCCACAATCTCCTCCACGCCAACCCCGTGTTTCACCTGCACCAGCGATGTCAGAGCAGAATGAGTTCATGGCATTACGATTATTACAAGGAATAGAGAACTGCGCATGTGTGCATGTGTGTGCATGGTTTGATCTTGAACCTGGGCGAACACGAAGGGCCCTCCTTCCCGCATCCGAAGGGCGTCTCGCTCCATCACGGCTAGGTCGGCTCCAACCGCGGAGGCAAGGTCTGTCTTGTTTATGACCTGAGTTTGGGACGGATGGTCCGAGTTAGTGAAAACGGTGAACTTGTCTCAGCAAGGTGAGAAGATAAATCAGCATCGTGATACAGGTTTGCAGTCTAGTTGAATGGCTTAGAAGGTGCGGTGACGCACCAAGAGATCTGCTTGGGTTATCCCAGGGCCGCCTGTTCTTGGTATCTTGTCCCCACCGGACACGTCGATGATGTAGATTATGTAGTCTGCTAGCTCCCTGCTGAAGTTGGCTGCCAGGTTATCTGCACACAAGATGCACAAAAAGTAGCTTTCTTAGTGCCTGGTCATGGACTTAATCACAAAATGGCTTAAGCTGGGGCCGTGATGATGCTCTTCAGTGACCCATTATCCAGAAGCAGAGGGACAATCGAGATGTTCAACTAATGCCCAAGAAACAACAAAACAGCTTCAGAAAAACCAGTAGTGCACACTGCATATTCCTAAACAATATTACGGAAAAGGATACAGGTTTCATCGCAAAACAAAAAGCTACAGGACATTTTCGAAACAGTCAACTGACAACACTAAGCCGGTCTAAACATACACGATGATAAACCTTCCAATGTGGGATTCAACAGGGACAATACCTCCTCCAGATTCACAGAGCAGCAAATCGGCCTTGTACAAGTTGGATAGCTCCTCCAGAGGGCCCAGATTTATGCTGATGTCCTCACGTATAGCGGCATGAGGGCAGCCTCCAGTTTCGACAGCACGTATGCGCTCTTCAGGCAGAGCTCCATGCTTGACCAAGAATTCTCCATCCTCTTTTGTGAATATATCATTTGTAACCTGCACATAATAAAAAATAAAGAAAGAGAAATCCTAAGGGTGTAATATAATTCAAGCATACAGGGTGGAGACTATTAGGTATTTGTGTTTAAGAAAATATCACAAGAATATTAGAAGTAGTAAGATTTCAATGCTGGCCCCCACAGACAAAAATTGACCTGTTATATGAATCAACTGTTTTGAAGTTCAGAAACAGGACCAACCAAATATATCTTCAAATGTTATGATGAAAGTCCAATGCCCAAAGATGCAGCAAGCGGTGTAGTTTAATCAGGAGAAGTAGATGGTATCTTAAGCAATCTTAAGAGAAGCACAGGATAGAACCATGCCACATACCGCTGCAAGACTATATTTGTCACGGAGGCAAGTGCAGAGTGCTAACATCAGGGCAGTCTTCCTGCATAAGGCAAAACAGAGAGAAGATGGTGGGGGTCATCTCACTTCGTCATTCCATAGTTGTTATGATATGAAATTAGAAGCCCTTGCTTCACCACATGAGGTTATTTCGTCAACACAAAAAGGCTGTGCACAAATTTCTTCGAATTGCCCAGACCCCCAGAACTCGCTTCTGAATTCCAAAATGCTAGGATGTTATACTGTGGCAGGGAAACATAACCGCAACAGCAAGAACACCAAAATAGTGTATGGCTGTAAGCACAGCAAGGGAGGCAGACAATCCCTAAGCATATGACAGTGTTCACTAATCAGTAATCACAGTGCATATAATGTCTATTCTGCTCGAGAATAACTCCAATATTTCACAACAGATTTGTGGTCAAAGCAACATTTTTCAGCGGCTAAAATGTGTGTAGTACATGCATCCACAGTTATCTCCAAAGATCAAAAGGCTATAGCTGACATCTGCACCGACACTACGCGGGAAACACAGGCAGATTCAGAGGGAAAATGCAGCAGAGACGGCTCCTATCTCGCCGGACAACACAGCATAACGGCCAGTCCGGCACCTAAGCAACCGCAGGAGAAAAGCTGGGCGTACCCGGTGCCGACGGGGCCGCCGATGCCGACGGTGAAGGCGCGGTCGGCGAAGCTGCGGGAGTCGAGCGGCGGCGCGCGCTTGGAGAAGTCCCCGGCGGAGTAGATGGGCTCGTGGGAGTGCGGCGCCAGGCCGTCGTGGGAGTGCCACACGCGCCCGTCCTCGCCGACCCACGACCCCGCCCCCGCCCCCTTCCCGGCGGCATCCCTGCAAGCGCAAAGCAGGGCAGGTGCTGGTTGAGTCGGCTGCGCGGACGGCGAGAAGGATGGCGAGGCGGAGGCGGGTAGACTCACCCGTGATGGTGGCGGTGATGGTGGTCGTCGTCGTGGGAGTGGCCGCCGTGGTGGTGGTGGTGATCCTGGGACGCCATGGACGGAATCCAGACTTGGAAGTGGAAGGATAAGACTTTGATTCCGCCGGTTGGTTGACCTTCTGGGATTCTCACCTCAAGAGGAGGAATGGAGGATGACGCTGCTAGATTCTTTTGGTGACGTGTTTTTTTCTTTTTTCTTCTTCTGAAAGTTCACCGAGTGACATCATTAAAATTAATCACCGGTTGGAGAGATCCAACACATCTCACCAGTTAGCTCCAATCTCTGACAATATCATAAATTCATTGGCACCACCTCGAAAAGCATGTCATGTGTGGGTTTTGTTGAACAAATTTCCAATTCACCTTATAGTAACTTTTCTCGAAATCAATGTTTGAAATCAATCCGATGTGTTGTATTTGCCATTTGAGTAGGCTTTATTACTATCCACACTACTGATGCGCCTTGAAATTGTGTCGGTATTTCTTCAAAAAGGAAGGGATGATGCAGTAGTTGGGTATCAATCCAGTAGAAGAACCAAACAATACTATGTAAACAGTATCTGCACCCAACACGTAAGAGGGGTTGTCAACCGCTTCTCAGTAAAAAAGATATATTGGTTTGTATGTATTTGCATGAATAGATCCGAATAAAACATGAAATAAAAGATGCAAATAAAAAGTGCAGTAAAGTATTTTTGGTTTTTGAAATAATAGATCCGAAAACAAATGCGGCAAAAAATAGATCGGAAAGCAATATGATAAAAGATAGACCCGGGGGCCGTAGATTTTACTAGTGGCTTTTCTCGAGAAAATAGCACATAGTGGGTAAATATATTACTGTTAGTCAATTGATAGAAGATGGAATAATCATGACGATATCCAAGGCAATGATCAATGTATATGCATCACGTCCAAAATTAGTAGACCAAAAGTCGTTGTGCTAAGACCCTAAAGGATCAGCGCACCAGAGCAAAAACCATCACTGATGAAGAGAGTTGTAGATCGAAAAGATCAAACATGTAACCACACAAACGAAGATGAACAAAAACTGGATCCAAATAGATTGATCGAAGACAAGCACCAACCGAGTCCCACGAGATCCAATGGAGATACACCTCCACACATCTTCCGACGATGCTAATCGCACCATCGGGACGGGGATAGGACGTGGGAGAAATTATTCCTAACGAGAGACATCGCTACCACCACATAGTCCCAACCAAGATGTTGAACCTAGCAAAAACCGAGAAATAGTCCCTCCGGCCGACGGGGGACCGAGATCCTCCGCAGCTTGAAGACCCCTTCTCGGATGAGGAGATCAAGGCGGCCTTCTTCTCCTGCCCAAGCGAAAAAGCGCCAGGCCAAGATGGCTTCACGGGAAACTTTTATAAAATATTCTGGGACATCATTAAAGTTGACATGGTTGCGGCATTCAGGCAAGTGTTTGACTTGCGGGGCCGCCGCCTCGGGTTACTAAACTAGGCATCCATTGCATTGCTACCCAAGATGGTGGATGCCTCGCAGGTTGCGGATTTCAGGCCAATCAACCTCACGGACAACTTAGAAAAATTCTTCTCCAAGCTCATGGCAAACAGGTTGGGTGTACTCATGAACACAAATTATTTCCAGGAATCAATGCGCCTTCACCAAGATGCGGTGTATACATGACAAATTCATGTACACACAAAATGTGATCAAGGATCTACATAGGTCCAAGACACCGGGCCTATTTTTTAAATTGGATATTGCCCGTCGTCGTCCAGGAGCAACACAAACAGCTGGTGATGGATCTCTCATCAACGGCCGCCGACCACCTCTCAAAGATAAGTTTCCCGTCTACGTTGTCGTCACCTCGGTGGTTGATTCATGGGGAACGTTGCCAAGCGCTGGTGAGGACAAGTTGTGAGTTGCGATGATGGTTGGTTCTTCCCCTACTTCTTTTTGTCTCCTCTTGACCACTACTTGTCAGTTGTCACCTGGTTGATTCCATTCATCATCGATCTGTCCCTCTGCAGGTTGTCACTAAGAGACTCGAGAGTCAATTACAACATCAAGTTTAGTGAGTAAAAAGAAGTAAGCAGCAAGGGAAGTGGGCGTCTCTAAAGAATTCTAGATGGCGGTGAGATTATTTGGGTCAATAATGTGGAATTTCTATGTGTACGCTGCACCTGCACTAACTTGCTTCCATTAACACACCCTTTTGCTGCTTGTGGGAGGGAAGTAATTACAACAGCAACTTGTGACTGTATCTAATCTTGCAGTCGATTATTTGCTGATGTCTCCGCCCTATGGTTTCCAGGTTAAAATTCAATCCTTCTCGATGCAGTTATTATTATGCAGGATCTAAGACTGAACAAGTCCGACTGCTGATAATTTAGATCACCCTTGCAAATAGAGTTGATTGGGCTGGTGACATAGTTCTAAAATTTCATTAACTCGAAGTAGGGGGCGTCCTTTTTAATTGTTCTTCTTTTTTTCCTTGAATGTCAAATGCAAGCAAGCATGCCTGTGTTGAGGCTTAAAAATATCAAGGCGCATGTGTCCATGTCACTTTTACATACTAAGCAATACTTTGTTGTCCTTTCTGAATGCACATGATAGACCTGAAAGAGTTCTGTTATTTTACCCTTTTTTGTGTAGGTTTCTTCTCACCCAGCAGCTTCCACAAAGTAGAGTATATCGCAACTTCGGAAACTTATTGAAGATGATAGCTCTGATGTTAATATCCAGGATGATGCAATAAGCTCTTTTGACAATTTATCAGAAGAAAGAGCCGAAGAAAATGGAGGATTCTAAAATGACTCAAATAGAACTACAAAATATCTATGCCACAAAGGTAGGTATGTTCAAGGAAATAATACGATGCATTATATTTTGCCTATATGCCTAAGTATACTGACATGATGGTAAGCGATATGATATTGTTGAACAGTGAACGCCAATCCAAAAAAAACTTCAGAACAATCTGTATGCATTAGTTGAGCTGGTATCTAGCTTTGCTATTTTTATGCAAGGTGCTGAAGTTCAATAACATTCATGATAATCCCCAGCTTCAGTATCCAGCAAAAGAGAAGTTACATTACAAATTCACAACTCAGCTGCGCAGCTGCAAGTCGATATATGATATCAATATTTTCAGTTCCTCTTATATGCTAATTTAGTTCCTTTTGATCTAGAAAAGATTTTGGTGTTTTTGTTCTAGAAAGACTGAACAGACGGAGGAGCCACTCTAATCATAAATATTTTTGGATTATGATTAGGGCTAGGGGAAGGTCATACCAACAACACATCTTTATTCCCTTGATGTCCCATAATAGGAAATAAAACTCTTGTTTACACTTGATATTTGGTTAAGCTTAAATACAATCTAATCTCCCATGTGTTGGGACTTGGGAGCTGCGACTATATTTTTTATGAATTTAAGGACCAGTTGACGAAGATAGTCCAAATCCAGTTGGATAATCACTTCATGTTTGGACTCTTGCGTGAATTTGTTTTAGAAGGTTAGGAGCAGAGGGATACAGTTCTAAGATTAAATTGACCATTTTTTCTACGAGTGTACTATTTATACGCTCATACCACAGAGTAATTGCTATTTATTTCCTTAACTTATTACCACATGCCTCCTAACCAGTCAACGATCAGATATTTAGCTCCATTGTTAATAGTAAGAAATGTGTTGTCCAACAATATGAAGAGGTTCCCTTTCCAGCTTATCTAATGGTACCGACATCCGCCGTAAGTGAATTTGATTGCTCTACTAAGTCCCGTCTATTAGATTTCTTGTTTATTTTTACATGGTTTAGTTACTTTCAGAAGCACAAATACTCAGACTATTTGATTTCTTTGTGGCTGAGTTGGAAAGTTTTGTTGAAACTGAAGGAGACGATTTCCACTTGCCCGCATGCAGACATAGGGATCTAGGTTTCACCTTTTCTTTCCAAGTACACCGAACCTTGATATCGCCTATGTTCCTCCACCATTAGGTTTTGTTGTAAAGAAATTTTTAACTCCCACGCTTGCTGGGAAAAACATAGAAATCAGAAAGTTCCTCGACACCGGATGTTCATATACATGAGTCAAAACAAGTAACAAACAAGTCAGTCCAATGTAAAAATCCAACGTAGCACCAAACAAGTCGTCTAATGTACAGATCAAACATGGTAACACATATGATCGCTACCCTAGTGGAGGGGGCCAAGTTGGATGGTCAAATTAGCGGGGTTATTCCACACTTGGTAGAAGATGGCCTATCCATTCTACAATATGCGGATGACACGATTCTATTTATGGATCATGATCTAGATAAAGCAAGAAATCTCAAGCTGCTCTTATGTGCCTTTGAGGAACTTTCTGGTCTCAAAATTAATTTTCATAAGTGAACTTTTTTGCTTTGGAGATGCTGCGGAATCTGCACCCGAGTATGCTGAGATTTTTGGATGCCAGCTCGGGCAGTTTCCGATTAGGTATCTGGTCCCCATACACTATCAGCGTTTAACTATCGCTGAGTGGAAGCATGTGCAAGAGAGACTTGAGAAACGTTTAGCCAGTTGGAAGGCCAAACTCTTGTCTTATGGGGGGCGGTTGATCTTGATCAATTCCGTCCTAAGAAACATGATTTTATACATGTTGTCATTCTTCCACCTGCCGAAAGGGGTTCTACAGCGTCTAGATTACTTTAGATCCAGATTTTTTTGGCAATGTGATAACGAAACCAAGAAATATAGACTGGCTAGGTGGAGCGTATTATGCAGACCTAAAAGCCAAGGGGGCCTGGGAATCCAAGACCTTGAGATTAAAAATACCTCTCTTCTCAGCAAGTGGGTCTATAAACTACTCACTGAGAATGGAGTATGGCAAGAAATCATTCGCAACAAGTATGTGGGATCCAATGCCATTTCTCAAATTCATTGGAAACCTGGTGATTCACATTTTTGGAGTGGTGTCATGAAGGCCAAGGAATTCTTCTTCCAATTTGGGACCTTCTTGGTTAGGGACGGTGGTCAGGTTTGTTTCTGGGAAGATACCTGATTAGGAAACACTCCACTAATGGTGCA